AGCCAGGCTGCGTTCTCGGTATCGGCATATGCTCAGTCCTTCTTCACTTCACGTACACACTCTTTATAGTCAATAAATGATTCATGAACCAAACCACTTCAAAGAACCCCAGTCATTCTTTTGCGATACACGCTGCCAAATGCGATTTGCTATCTAGTAACCGCTTGGTACTAAACTATTAGCCCACTCTTCCACATCCGAGAACTGATCCTCGACGTCGTCAGGTATGCCATTTCCATTGGCATCCGCCCACTGCTTTCCACCGTCGATAGTTCCAGGCCCAGCCATGGGGCTAGCATTCTCGTCACTAATCAGCTCACCCGTCTTCCCGTAGCTCTTCAATTCTTCAATGAGTCGCGTGTCAACAACATCGCGCACCTTACTCGCACCAACAGAACTCTCGGCGAGCCTCAGCGCATCTTCCGCCGATAGAGTCTTCTCGGGCGCTGGGAAGGGAAACTTGGCCGTCTGGATAACCATGCCTCCGTAGTTGCTGGAGGATGCACCCTGCTCCGTTCCGTCCAACGTGCCATCGCGGTTAGAGTCGTAGAAGTTGCCTTCAACGTAGCCCTTGAAGTTCTCATTCCCGCGCGTAAACGCCGTGACGCTGGTACTGGGCCCGCTGATGAAGTAATTCCCAACGATATTCGCCTCGCTTGCTGCACTCGAATCTCCAGCGATGTATCCTCCACCTCCACCCCAGTTGTACACCACGTTATTGGTGAAGTCATTGGTGCCTTTGACTTTCGGGTTTCTCGTTTTGTTGTCAATGTATAAGTTGCGGAACAGGCTGATACCACTCCCGAGATTCGTTTGCATCAGCCCGCCACACGAGTGTGTTTGCAGGCCTTGCCCGATGATACTGTTTTGAATGGTTATGTTGCCGACGTCGTTGCCGGAGATCGAAAAGGTCTCATCGCGACCCCAGGAGACAGAGACGTGGTCGAAAATCATGTTGCTTCCCTCTGCGATCGTGATACCATCTTTTCCGCTATCTCCTCCTTTTCCCATTCTGATGCGCAAATACCGGACGATCGCATCGTCGGCGTTGCTGAAACTCCACCCATTTCCGTAAACTGTGATACCATCGCCTGGCGCTGTTTGCCCAAGGATAGACACGCGTTTGGCCACGACCATGCGCTCTTTAATCTTGATCAAACCACCTAGCGAGAACACGACTATGCGGTCGCTCTGGGAAACGCCCTCGCGGAGAGACCCTTCACCGCTATCATTGAGGTTTGTAACAACATAGACAGTGCCACCATGACCGCCGACAGCGTTTCGCCCAAAACCTTCTGCGCCTGGGAAAGCGAGGGCGGCGACGGAGGATATTAGCAGGGGCAGAACAGTGCAGAAGATCATCTTCAAGGCGAAGAACACGGGGTAGGAAGAATGTCGGAGACTGAAGGAAAAGAGATGTAATATGAAAGCTCCACGCGGCATGCGCAGAGGCGGCGAGATCAGCTAGCTAGTCCGTAGCGCGCTGCTGGTGAATGACACCTTGGATTACTCTCTTCATTTACTCCAGACGTTGTGATCGACAGGGTCCTAAAAGATAGTCCGCCAATCACAGCGGGGATGTGTTCGGACGGTAGGAAAGCATGGCACACAGCAAAACCAATGAGTGCAGGTCTTGTGATGTGGGATTGTTGAATGCGCAGCTCGTACGGGCACGTACTTCGGGTTCTCGGTGTATTAAGCCCCATGGGTATATTTCTGCTTTCCCTAGTACATGCTAGACCCGGTTTTGACACTTTCCGTAATTATTCCAACTTCGGCAAGTTCAGCAACCAAATCCATGAGCATGTGGTCGCAACCTGCCGCAGCTACCATACCAATAGTAACGGGGAGCGTTTCGTTTCTCTCAGTAACCCTGCTGACATACGTCCTGCAATGGTAGAGGTACGAAGTCAGTATATGTCTTATATGCACTTCGTACAGTCAAGCTTACCTTGCGCCAATCGGTATTGTGTAGTCGGGTAGCGCAGCCAGAACTGACATCTGGTTGCCGGGTAGTCCAGCAGCAAATATACCACCTGGAGCGGCTGTATAGATGTCGCGGTAGTCTTCCGTACCGGCGCCCATAGGATACAGCACCAACGTTGACTCGCATGATGGCGTCAACGTCTCTCGAAACCATGTCTGGAAGGTGTGCGTGCGCTCCATAGCAGTGGTATAGCTAGAGGTCGGCAAGGTCGCGGCCCGATTCCATCGCGCTCGTGTTTGCGGGTTCCAGTAGGGCGCTTTACCAAACTTGGCAATATACTGCTCCCTAAAAGGTAGACCAAGGTCGCGGTACTGATCCACGTTGGTAATGTTGGAGTATGTAGAGCCGAGATAGGATGCTATGCCTTCAGAGATGTTCGCGTATGCATTGAAACTGGCGTTGGCGTTGAACGTTGTCAAATTGGCGTCAAGAAAAGTAGCTAGCTGTGAGATGAACGAATCAAATATAGGCATACTCGTGCTGTTGACTGTAGGCCAAAACAGATCAGGCAAGATGATGCGCTTAGGGTAGGATGTGTATTCCTTGGCTGGGTACCATTTCCTATGCACTGCTTGGAGGAGCTTCGCCGACCTAGCCAGTACGCCCGGCGTATCAAATATTGCTGAGATGGGCAAGATTCCCTTCAGTGGCAGTGAGGCGTTGGTGATACGCATGCCAAACAGGCCGTTTGCCATGGCCGGTAAGCGAACAGAGCCTCCAGTATCGGAGGCAGTTGCAATATCCATCCAGTCATACGATGCAAGTCCAGCTCCAGAACCGGCTGATGAACCCTGGGGATGCTGGTAACCGTCTCCTCTAGGGTTGAAGGGTGCCAGCTGATCCACGTAGTCGGCTGTTGGTCGTTCCCCAAGCGCAAACTGGGTAGTCTTTGTCTTTCCAATCACCACCGCACCCATGTCGATAAGCTTTTGTAAAGCTGCCGCGCTCTCGGGAGCAGGATCCACAAGGTCGCGGTAGCCTCTATTCCCACCGCTCGTTCGGATACCCTTCAGGTCGTAAATATCCTTCACGCCCAGGCGTTTACCCGACAAAGGCTTGTCTTCTGTGGGTGCTGGATAGTATAATCGTGACGGCACTGCGATACTAAGAGCTCCGTAGGCATCTGTCAACGCCAGACCTGTGACAGGAAGGAAAGTCCCATTCTGACCTTCAGTGACCGACTCCACAAAAGCGAAATTGTGATCCCAATACAACCGGTAGACTCTGGTGATAGCCTTTGATGGGTGAAGTAGATATGGGCCGGATGCTACGCCGGCGTCCAATGCAGTGTAGATCATGCTGCACCCGATCGAGCCAAGATATGCATGTGCATTGTCTGAAAGAGTGCTTGAACCGCCAAGCACTAGTGTATGGAGGAATGATTCCGAGTATACATCGTCGTGCGATAGAAATGAGGATATCGTGAACTCCAGTAGCTCCGCGGTGACATTAGGGTCCGAAAAGGTCAGATAAGTGATTGGCAAAGGCTCTACGTTGGCCCATGACTGGTCGCCAAAGCTAAGCGTCGCTGCGGTAAGATCTGGAGAATAATACGACGTAGAGTTGAGTTGGAAAACTGTACTCGTTCTGACAAGAGCTGCAAGCGATAGGAACAGCGCGGCCTTCATGATGTGCGGCGCGCGGACTTCGTGGGGCAATGCTCATGAGGCAACCTGTCAGCTTTATACCAATGCATCTTCGGCTTGGTATCGTGTTTTCTGGAACGCAAAGTGCGTATGTCCGTTACATGTCTATCGCGTCCTGACGGCGGGTGCAGAAGTGGGAGAGATGGAGGTTAGCGCGTCGATGATAATGCAGGCAAGACACTTGGCATGACGTCACGCGTGAGGAACGAGTCAGAATAGGCATCGTAGAGATAACGGTCAAGCAACATCCGCTAATTCACTGACAAATTGCCCGCTTGTAATGATAACACTTGCAGAATACTAAGGGTCGTTGTCTAGCTCACTGCGAGTTGAGAACGAAGACTACTGGAGACGTGTCCACGGATGAACGATTGGCATAAAGGACCATCAGTTCGTAGCATCCTCTTAGCCTTTTGAGCGCTCCACGTCGGCTTAGGAAAAACATAAACACCCTAGAGTCTACATTAAGGTTAGGCTACCTACTTTGCATATTCTAATCTTGATGCAATCTGCAGACCTGGTCGGTTTGTTTCTTGCATGCAGTGACTCAACAGAAATAGTGGCCGTCGCGTCATAACCATCAGATCAAGGAATGGAAGGGATGTGTATGGGTTTCAGAACAACGGTGAGGCGCAGTCTCCTGAAGCATAGACCTGCACCGGAACACGAGAAGCGACGGGAGTAATTGCTGTCCATAATGGGAAGGTGAACAGTTTGGGGCCCTGGAGACAATGGTGGAGTTTTCGAGGCCAGATCCGTGAAGATCAGGAAGGGCAACGCAGGCTTAGTAATGCACATGCTCATCGAGAACGGACACAAGTATTTGTAATGCAGCTGCCTGAGATCTCCGCAGCCATATCGATGCTGCCTAGTAACGAAACGCCTACGCTGTGCTTCTAGCAATGAACTAATGACGTGCGAAGTGTCTTCCGAAGACGACTGGAACTGAAGAACAAAAGGAACGATCACAGAAGAGGACCCATTGCGTGGATCTATTGCGTGCCGCTGTAAGCAAAGAGCGACCAGCTGCCTGGCAAACCCCTAGCAGTTTCGCTAGAATGCTCTGGGTCTCTTTTGTGTGGCACGACTTGGAACCGGAGACGCACTTGGTCGTTTCCTTTGTACCAACGCGTCTTCTTCGAGCTCTTCTCCAGTCGTATGTTGCCCGTTGAACTCGCAACCGGGATCGTCCATGTCTGCCTGACAGCAGTCCCATTTTATTGACCCGCCCGGTGGCCTGTACCTCTTCCCAGAATGAGAAACGCAGGGCGCATTCACGTCCACTATCTGTTCGTGACACACTGTGCAGGTCTTTATCAAAGGCGCAGGCCGTGTGTTGATGCTCGCTGACCGTGGCGTGTCTCTGGTTAACAGCCTTGGGGTTTGATTGACAGAGGAAGATGGGCCTGAGGGTTTCCGGACTGGCGTGCGTAACGTGGTTGAGCGTGGATAGGCTCCAGGAAGGTGCATGTCGCCGTCTGAACTTGACTGTGAGCGCTCACGTGGCTCCCGCTTCACTCGTGATGCGAACTCAGAACCATGAGGCCGTGATGTAGCTCGACTTCCGCTGATCTCGCGGGATTGTGCAGGCAAGCTGTTGTGACTTGGGGTCGGAACTGTAGGCTTCACGAGGTTTCTGTTCGCCGCCTCATAGAGTTCGTCGCTATCATCCTCATCTTGAATCTTGACCTTGGGCTGATGCGACTGCATCCGTTGCTGGCTGATCAGGCTCTGGGCGGATGCAGAGTGAGGCGCAAGTCCACGGACGAGGGCGCCGGAAAAGGCCGGTGACATTTGGCAAAGGTCGAGCAGCACCTTTTGCACAGCGCGCGGGTCGGCTGTCTCGATGATCTGTTTGATATGCTCAGGGTGGATAGGGCGCGCCTGCTGTGGCCCTACAGGGTTTCGCGCGGAAGCCATCGGATGCCTAGCTTCCATCCCGACATTTGCCATACCGTAGGGGCGTGGCTCGGGCTTGAGGTACATTTGAACTAGTCTTTGGGGCGGCCTTGGCTGTGGCCGCTGTTGTGGTCGTTGCTGGGGCATGTCTTCCGGCTCTGGTGAGGAACCTGTGAGGTCGATTGTTTGGCAGCTATTGCCAGTTGTGTGTGATGGAGCCATTGCGAGGGAAAGAATGACCAGATACTGATAACCAAGAGCACCCAAAGTGAATAACTGATGTCAAAGCGCGGTCTGCGGAAGATTGGTCTCAGCGTCGCACAATGAATGAATTGCTGGGCTTGGAACGTGTGGATCCCGGGCCTCTTAGCGCGACACCAGCTCACGTGATCAACGCACGGCCCTGCGCAGGATCCTTCCCCACAAACCTCGACCTGCAAGAAGGAGGCGCGTCCGTGGTGCCCAACAACGCGTCAGCTTCAACACCATCAGTAATGCGATGCGCACGCGGCATCACTTCGGACCTCAATACTGCCTCCGTCAGCCCTCTGTAACACGCTACAATCAAACCAAATCAACGCACGGACGGCAACAAGATTCCCACCAACCGGCGCAATGCACATGCGCAGTCGTTGCGCGATGAGAGATTCACCGTCTGGGGTGCATACATCAATTTTCCGATGGCTTGCTTCGCCCGTTTCGACAGCTTTCATAGCGGGGAAACGTCCCCGTAGCTCACTAAGCGGCTGTTCGGAGGTCTAGGTCAGACCCGGGGAGTCCGCCAATATAGTTTGCTTAGCCGGCATGCTGAAGTTATTATATGTATATGCATACTGCGCGCCTTCAGGCTAAGTTCTACATTCACTCACTCTTATACTTTCATTTTCAACTGTCCTACTTTGTCCACAATGCTCCCATCAATCGCTTTCGTGCTCACGCTCGCGGCATCCGCTGTCGCAGCTCCAACGACGCTGGCGCCTCGGGCTGGACGTACAAGTCCTCCTTCTGGATGTCTGGCTGTGGGTGGTAGCGGAAAGTACAAAACTGTTCAGTCCGCCGTTGATGCTTTGAGCGCTTCCAGTACGGCTGCACAATGCATTTTCATCGCGAAAGGTTAGTTCTAGCTGTACCAACTCCATGTGAGACATGTACTGACTTGATGCCCTCGGTTCTGCAGGCACATACAAGGAGCAAGTCTACATCAAGCCGCTCAAGTCGGCCCTGACGGTGTACGGCGAAACGACAGACACTAGTAGTTACACCGGCAACACCGTGACCATCACCCAGGGCAAAAGTCAAGATGACGCCCCCAACAACGACGAAACTGCAACTCTCCGCGCCTGGACACCAAACCTAAAGGTCTACAACATCAACCTGGTCAACACACGCGGACAGGGCTCGCAAGCTCTCGCCCTTAGTGCTTATGCTGATAAGCAAGGCTACTACGGATGCCAGTTCAAGGGTTACCAAGACACCATCCTCGCCCAGCAGGGTAGCCAGGTCTACGCCAAATCCTACATCGAAGGAGCGACTGACTTCATCTTCGGCCAGAAGGCCATAGCATGGTTTGATGGTTGCTCTCTGGGCGTTCTCACAGCGTCGGTGGGTTACATTACTGCCAACGGTCGCGATTCAGATTCCAATCCCTCATACTATGTCATCAACAACTCGAAGATCGCTGCTGCTCCTGGTAACACGGTGAGCGCGGGTGCTTACTACCTCGGCCGTCCTTGGAGGAATTTCTCTCGTGTTGTGTTCCAGAAGACTAGCATGACTAATGTCATCAATGCCGCAGGATGGAAAGTTTGGAATACCGATGACCCCAGGACTGACAAGGTCACATATGCCGAGTACGCAAACACTGGTGATGGATCCAAGGGTACCAGGGCGTCCTTCTCAAAGAAGCTCTCGGCTGCCCTTAGCCCTTCCACTGTTCTGGGCAGCGACTACAAGAGCTGGGTTGATGCAGCGTACCTTTCCTAGGCCGACGTCTTGTAGAAAGATGCTGGTTAGGTTCGGTAGTACGTGAGAGTTGGTTTTCTTGTACATATATTGGGAACACTAAATGTCTTCATTTTTATTCACACATTTACTTGCAACTGCACTTGCTTCCCAAAAATCTCAAGAACATGTCGGCAATATTGTGATCGGTATTACATTCGCAGTCTTGTTGCATGCGTGAGAAGATTCTAGCTGAAGTAAGCAAGGCTAGACACGGGCTACCGCCGAATGAGAGACCCACTAGTGGGTCACCGGACCATGTGTTTTTGCTCCGCATTGCTACGGCTTCTGCCCTTCCACTTCAACTTTGCAATCGCGAACATTTCGACAAAAGGTTCGAGATGTCTTATGGCACCATAGCCGACTCACCGCCGTCCGCAGGACGCTCAAGGGTAAACTTCTTGCCACGCCTGCCATCTGCAGCCTCAGGCTCTGCGCAAGATACGGACGAGGAAGCCAATCCGCCAGGAATATGGAGCAAAATATCGCAGAGTCTGAAGTCATTCTACAGGCGGAATTTCGGTTTATTCTTAGTTTTCTTAGCACAGACATGCGGTTCTGTCGTAAGTTTTATTTCTTGTGTGCAATGACTGCATGCCGCAGACCATGCCACTTACAAATGAGCACTAGATGAACACAGCAGCCAAACTGCTCGCGAATGACCCATCCATCGAGTTTCACGCTTTGCAAATCATCTTCATCCGCATGCTGTGCACGACGATCATCTGCTCGATTTACTCTTGGTACCACGCGGTGCCTGACTTTCCTTTCGGCCAGAAAGGCATCAAAGGGCTGCTCATACTGAGAGGTACTGCAGGATTTGTCGGTCTATTTGGACTGTATTGTAAGTTTGACTCCCTCTGGAATCCCTCCCGGTCCAATCCGTATAAGATTGTGACCTGCATTGGTGGGTCATGATGGTTGAACAGGAATACAGCTAACAATAACGCTTAGACTCTCTGTCTTGGCTTGAATTCTCCGACGCGACAGTAATAACGTTCCTAATCCCAACTATGACGGCCATTGTATGCTTCATCTGGTTACGCGAGCCATTTACGTGGAAAGAAGCGCTTTGCAGCTTCGTCGCATTCTGCGGCGTTCTCTTCGTCGCGAGACCACCATGGCTTTTTCCCGCTGCGCACTCAAGGCCAATAGCCGATGATTCGGACGGACATGCGCCTTTACCGTCAACTACCGCCGAGCAACGCGCTCTGGCAATCTTCATCGCAATTCTAGGCACGCTTGGTGCTTCGACAGCCTACGCAACTATCCGAGTGATCGGCAAGCGCGCCCACTCGCTCATCTCGGTGAATTACTTTTCTCTCATCGCAACGATCGCCTCGTTCGTGCTCATCCTGGTTCACCCTTCGTTACATTTCGTCATGCCCAAAACGCTCGGTCAGTGGGGATTGATCGCCATTATTGGGCTCTTCGGGTTTCTGTTGCAATTTCTCTTGACGGAAGGCCTGCAGAGGGAGAAAGGTGGAAGAGCAACAAACTTGACGTATCTGCAACTTGTCTTCGCGCTTGTTGTCGAGAAGGTGATCTGGGGAACTACGCCGCCTGCTGAGAGCTTGGTGGGAGCCGTGTTTATCATCGGAGCGGCGATTGCGGTCAGTCTGCAGAGGTCGAGTGGGAAGGATGATAAGAAAGCTGAAGTTGTCGAAGAAGAGAGGAGGCTGTTGGAGGATGAGAATTGAGCTAGAGCATATTGGGTACACGCGAGTGTATTATTATCATGTACATGCATTTGCATGACATGACCTAGATTCTGCCTCCATGCTTCACAACACTAGAACTGGCCTGCCATTGGGTTTTCACCACCCGACTGTATTGGGCTTCATTGCCGACCGACACTGGAAAGTAGTCTTGCGGCTGATGCAGCACCTGTTCTCACACCGATGATGATGATCAGGGCAGAACCACTCGCATGGTGCGTTATGTTGCAGTAGATATGATCTGATGATAGACCACTCTACTGGCAACACTGGTGCCACGACAGAGACAGATCCGCAGCAGCCTGATCAGCGTCGCCGCTGTACCTATACCATGCGTCAGCTTCTACTGACAGGCTCATGACTCATTGCGCTAGATCATGCTTTGCACGCAATGCCGAGTTTAAACCGCATCACCCTCATCTCTCGAATTGACATCACTGCTCGCTCTTTCTTCGTCTGTTCCTTGTCTCACAATGTGCTCTTCGCTTCCATTCATGCTCATGTCTATGTTGTCGATCTCATGCACAGTCCTCCTTTTGCCCTTCCTCTCAACATGCGACAAACGAAGGCTGTCTGGCAAATTCTGGCCCGAATTTTCGTTTGATGGCTTGATCGATGACATAGCTTTCCTGGCTTTACTGAGAAAGGGCTTGAGGATAGGTGCGTTGACAGCTAAGATTCCGACAAACTATGGCAAACATTAGCAAGGTCCTAGTGGCCTTAAAATTTGAGAGGCTCACTGTTTCGCGGATTGACCAAATGGTGCCAACGTTGATCTGGGAAACGTCTTGAAGACACAGGATGCAGCGGAGCAATGTTGCTGTCATCATGAAAACACCGGTGCATAACCAGACTCCGTACAGAAGCTTCCTTCTTAAAGGTAGTCGGACGTTCCAGAGTAGAGGTAGCGGGATATACAAGATCATGAGATCGGTGCTGGATGATTGTAAGTATGGTACAGAAGTGGACAGGCTCACTTCTAGGGCTACCCACGTTACATTTGTAACGACCAACGCCAGATATTTGGATATGTTGAGCGCGCAGTCATCACCTGGATATGGATATATTTGCCAGAGTCGATGGATAGGGTGACAGTGTGTGAGGAACACGATGATAGTAGCGATGTAAGCTACAAGGCAGACTGCCCCAGTAATCTTGACGAGATTATGTTGCTGGAGATTGAGCCTATTGCTATCAGCGGGGATCAATCTAAATTTGTAAAGTATACATACGTGAGCCTCCTGTAAAAGAACAGCATACAAGCCTTTACTGTGGTAACAGCCTATTAGTATGACCACATGGCCTCGAGTGCTCCGTTACCAAAGTATTTACGTACAGCACCATATCAGGGTTGTATATAGTATCCACCCTGCGAGAAGGTATTTACTACCCACAGTAACACGTTGGCTTTCCTCAGGTGTAAGTTGCAACGCGAGTTCGTCACTCATTCCAGTGATGGAGCCATTCTGGCCGATGAGCTCCAGCATGACAAGTTCAGCGGTGAAGAAGAAGGCGCAGAGTACGGCGAAGTAATCATCTCCATCCCAACGTAGTTGGATCTGCCAGCAGCGCGCTGTAATTCGAAGTATTATAACGACAATACCAATTGCGTATTCGGTCCATGCTTCAGTCGTGAAGGGATTAGACATGCTGGCGAGACAAGCATCGACAGTTGAGGGCCCTCTCGCGCGAGATCAGGGTACGACGAGCAGCAAGGCCCTTAACATTGAGTATCATTGTAAAAATGAATGCCCGAAAAACGAAAGCTATACGATACACGACGAGAGTGGAGGCTTTCAATCGGGCGCAGGTGACCCATGACGGTGCAAAGCGATTGGTGTGGGTGCCTTTTCGGATGAGAAACCCGCCGGGCACAATAAGTTGCCGCAGTTCCTCGAATGATCATCCTTGTGGTAGTTTGGTGATCTCGGGGTGCTGGCTACCAAGATCGCTGTGAAGATCTAACGGCCCGATTCCTATCGCAACGTCGCGCAATTGGTTGTTGAATTGCTTTTTGACATTTTACGATCTTGTCCGAAGGTAATAAGATATAGTTGGACACGAGACTGGGAAAGAGCCTGGCTGACATACAGCCTTCAGCCGTACCTGGCGGTCCATGCCTTAGCGGCGCGCGGCACACGCAGATAGGGTTGTGTCAAATGTGGATCTTGAACTCGTACCCAGCTTCGCAAATTCCCAGTTGAGAGTGCTGCAGAAGCGCATATGCGCAAATACTACGTCACTGTCAGTACAGTGGCTTCTCTAGGCACAAAAGAAAATTGATGCCGGGAGCACATCCAGACTCCAGGTCTAAGGCCTAGCGCGAGATGCGACCCTTGTCCAGTGCCCCACCTAGACACATGTGAACCGAGGCCCTTGCTGCACAGCGTCCCGTGCCGTTGTACGGGACTGCGAGGAGCGGGCAGCAAGACTTGCCCTTAGCTGAGACTCGATAGACGGTGCCCTGTGGCTTCTCCTCTCATAACACAGCGCCCAGGCACGAGGAGTGCGACGGATCTTTTCCCCACAGATCCGATATAACTTCTCGAATAAGTCTTGAAGATGCCAGAGGACGCAATTCCAGAGCACCATCGCAGGGAGAGAACATGCCCAGTTAGCACGCCGTCCAACTACATTCCGCCGTTCCCTGGATATTGCTCCAGATTCCAGGTTACAATGAATGATCTCGTCATGGCCATGATGGGAGCGCAGTACGACTCTGTTACCGGGAACGACGGCATAGCCGTTACCAAACTTCAGGAGTTCGTGAGTAGAGGGCCACAGTCAAAGCGCCCGTCGTTTTGGGGAACAACCTCCGTAATCGACAAGAGAGGTGCCTATAGCATCGCTGTGATTGCATATTGGCGCAGCGCAGACTTGCACAGCAGCTGGCAGCAGGAATCTGGGTTCGATACTTGGTGGCAGAGTTCAGACAGGGAAAAAGATGGGCATGGGTGGTTCCAGGAGATTCTGTGTCCAACGATGGATCGTTTTGAAACAGTATTTTCAAACCCTGAGAATCCAGAAGGAGCGGCCAACATGCAAGAGAGGATCTCAGGCGAGTTGGAACAACACGCGTATTGGGGTAGCATGCGGGATCGCTTAGCAGCTGCTCAAGACAACAAACTCGAGGGCGATAGATGGTGGTCTAAGGATGGCACCGCAAATGGCTCGAGTGATGATGCAGATGCCTCAAAACGTGTCCGTGTATCTGGCAGGCCCAATCTGTGCGTGATTCGATCGGGCCAGGATTGGTCCGACACGCTACCAGAAGAGCGCAAACTCTACCTCGATACAATGCATCCGGTGCTCATCGAGGGCATGAAATTTCTACGTGATGAAGGGCGCGAGGTTGGGTGTTATGCGATGAATTTGTGGGATGTTGTGGATTCAAAGTCGTTCGTGGCGAACAGTGAAAGAACGTTCGGTTTGGGCTATTTCAATGACCTGGCGTCGCTCGAATACTGGAGTAAAAGCCACCAGACGCATATCAACATCTTCGGAGGCTTCCTGATGTATGCGAAAAAGCTGAACAATGTATTGTCTCTCCGGCTATTCCATGAGGTTTACGTGCTGGAGCCGGACCAGCAATTCTTCGAGTACATTGGGTGCCACGCCGAGACGGGGATGATGAATGCGCGCCGATCTTGAAACCTGTAGATAGATTGTTCGGAACGATACTATTATTGATAACCTGTGGTCAGCGTTGCAATTGAGGATCGTGAGTATTGAATGAAAGTTGCCATCGCGATTTTGGTACTGAGAGTGAAAGGTTCCCCAGAGATGAAATCCGATAGGGCGTAGCGCTGTTGCCTTATCGCCTTATCGGCGTCGTGACGCGACTTGGTACGCGTCAAGCCTCACTGATATCCATCAACCGAAGGCTACGCACAACGACCCTATCAGCAATACCATCTACAGCAAAAAGGAAAAGCGTCTCATGTGGCGTGGGCCGTTCTGGACGACCGGGACCAGTGAAATGGTGACGCGAACAAGCGATCACGCGGGAACGTACCCCGCGAAACATGATAAGCGGCACGGAGCTTACGCGGGGATATGGCGACGCCATCACTCCCTGGAGGCTGCCTGACCTTCCATCGCCCTCTAGCTGTTCTTGATTTTCAATTTACATGCTCTTGACAGCACTGCTCTCGTCCCTTGAGTGCGCCACTACTCCCAGCGCCATTTGTCCGGCTATTGATGTAACCACTATCCGTTCACCTAGGCTCAGCTCCGAGGAGCTGTCGGTGCCTTGGACAGCAGACCTGCGATAGGTATCACGGTATGTTGTACTTGCAATCATGTAATCCTCCATCTCTGACAAGCCACAGAGCTAAGACTCTCAGTCTACCTCCTGCATCCCTTCTCCCTCTGATTCCCCTGACGGCTTCCATCATGACTTGGTGGCGCCGGGACCCGACACTCGCTCCTTTCCAACGCTATGCGCAACGCATCCTCCGCTCCGACGACGCGGCCCTTCGCACGCGGTGCTTCTCGCGCACGCCCTCCAAGTCAGCACAGCACGAAGACAACAATGGCAACAAACGTCCATCCGGCATGTCCAACCTGGAATGGTTGCAGCTAGAGCAGTACCAGCAATGGCGAAGGAAACTCATGAATGATCCATACGAGGCCATCTTCGGGGCCAGCAACGAGAGGTTGAGTGGCAAGGGCAACAAAGACTGGGAATGGCTTGCCAATAGCATTCCTAAGTGGATGTTGAGAGAGATGGAGAGCCACGACGACAACGCTTCGCCGCCGAAGCAAGGCAAGAGTGGCAGTATCGATCCGAACTACCCGCGACGGGTCAAGATCGATAGTGAAGAGCGCGATATCCGTAGGGAAAGAGAATCACACTTCCCCCAACCGTCATCCAGGGCAAGACTGCTCCCTGACGACTCGACTGGCATTGAGTCACCCTCTGATCTCAGGAGGCCGCGAGAGCAATCTCATGTCAAGATTGTTGGCCGCCATTCAGGATTATCGGCCGAATTTACAACAAGCGCATCTAGTGCTACAGCGCAGGACTACGAACACGAGCAGCCGACGCGACCGAAGAGCACGGAGTCGTTTGAAGAATACATTGCGAAAACGAAAACGGATGCGGCTAAGAAGATCGAACAATCCAGCACGGCCGCACCCAGTAGAGAACCTTCCTTTATGGACCGCTTCCTGACAGAGAAGCCCGAACACGAAGACGCGCAACGACACGGCACGGCGGAGACAGGCAGCTGGAGAGAGACCACACTGCAAAGGAGGATACCAAAGGACGTCGTAGCAAAGCCTGATGCCGACCCTGCACCCATGGCAAAGGCTGGCGACGGGTCGTCAATGCCAGCATCCTCAGCTGACGGGGCCCACGAGCTCTCCTCAGAACCACATACGCAGGAAACCCTCCCGCCGCTTCCTCCAAGCTCAGGTCCTCGACGTACGAAGCAACCTTCCACGCAAGAACACATCCCACCGCAGGAGACTCCTAGTACCCAAGGCAGCGTCACATCTGTGAGGTCAACGTCAAAAATCTTGAGCCAGTTGCCCAAAGACGATTTGGACTTCTTGAGTGCGGACGAGATTCGTGCGAACATGGCCGCAAGAAGGAGCAAGGTCCTGGACGAAGAACGTAGAAAAGCGGATCGGGCTAGATTGGAGAGCACTTTCGAGAGCACCCCCAAGGCAAAGACCGGTATGGATCCGATGCTTGAGTCCAAGATCATCAATGACCAATACGTTCGTCGAATCGAACGGCAAATGCAGCGGCCAGAGATCTCGTTTGATTCACAAGAATCCAGTGAGCCCAGGACAACTACAAAGATGGACGAAACCCCATACAAAGCAGACGAAAGCCAGTTGGAGTCGAGCGTCGAACGGATGAAGTCTTGGCTTGAAGAAAGCGGTGCAAGATTCTCTAGTCTTTTCTGGCAAGACCCGACCGAAGAAGCGGATGCGAAGAAAACCCGCCTGTTCTTCGACAAGATCCTGGCACGTATTCGCAAGGGTCGCACGACGATGAAGCAAGTGGTCGAAGACCTAGAGGCAGACATTCCAGCATCTAAACCTCTCTTGAGGCGTATGAAAGCGGATGAGGACCTCCTGGACTCTGCTATCAACACTCTACGACAACGCTCAGAAATCGGAAAGCTTCGTTCATTGACGCCGAAGAAAGTAAGGGCAATTCAAGAATTGCGTCTCCGGTACCAGAGCACAGACAACGACCTTAATAAGGCATACGCCTTGCTCCAAGATCTCGGCGACTCGGACGCAACAAAGAACGCCTCACCAGCGTTCAAAAGGCGCCTAAGCATTGCGTCGAAAATTACCCAGAAAAACGCTCACCTTACGCGTTATCTCATCTGGAGTCTACAGGCCCGGCTCGAGGACCCGGGAATTGATCAGAGCATGCTCGCAAACTACAAAGCTGTTGCGAACAGTCTGCTAACTCTTAGAGATACACAGATGGCCCTAGCTCGATTGCTGGAACGTGCCATGCTCGTTTACGGCGTGGCTCCACATCTCTGGGAGGACATTAAAATCCTTCCCGGCTCCCCAGCTCTGGAAATTCCGCAGGACCATGAGCAGTCATCTCAGACTAAGGCGCCTTCCGCTATGAGTGATGCCGACAAAGCCCAGCTTCGTGCCAAGGTAGCTGCTG